TCTGTAATCTGTCTCTTCATGTCTTCTGCTTATGTTTGAATCAGACTTTTTGCTTGTTTACTGTTGAGTGTTGGGCATTCTTTGTATATTCTAGATATTGCTCCTTTCTTGAATATGTAGTTTGTAAATATTTTCTCTGATTCTGTAGCTTGTCTTTTCATCTTCTTAACATGGTTTTTCATGGAGCAAAAGTTTTCATTTTTATTGTGTCTAATTTGTCAATTTTTTGTTGTATGGATCATGCTTTTGGTGCCAAGCATATGAACTCTGCCTAGCTTTCGATGTGAAGATTTTCTCTTATGCTGTGATTTATTTATTTATAATTTTTATTTTTTGAGACAGAGTCTCACTCTGTTGCCCAGCCTGCAGTGCTGTGGCAGTCTCGGCTCACTGCAACCTCTGTCTCCTGGGTTCAAGTGATTCTCCTGACTCAGTCTTCCTGGTAGCTGGGATTTCAGGTGCCCACCACCATGCCCAGCTAATTTTTGTATTTTTAGTGGAGACGGGGTTTCACCATGTTGGCCAGGCTGGTCTCAAACTCCCAATCTCAGGTGATCTGCCCACCTGCCTCCCAAAGTGCTGAGATTACAGGCAGGTGCTACTGCACCTCACCCCCTATGCTTTTAAATAAAATGTTATCATTTAAATTTAAGCCCGTGATCCATTTTGAGTTAATTTTTGTATAAAGCGTGAAACTTAGCTCAAGGTTTATTTTGTTGTCTACACAGGTTCAGTTGCTTCAATACCATTTGTTGAGAAGACAATCCTTTCACTGAGTCTCTTTGTACCTTTGTCAGTAATCGGTTGTGCATATTACGTAAGTCTATTTCTAGGTTTTCTATTGTTTTCCATCGATCTACCTGTCTACTCTTCCATAGCTATCATGCTGTTTTGATAATCGTACTATATGATACATCTTAAAATCAGGTAAACTGATTCCACTTTTCTCAAAATTAATAGAATTGATCGTGATGAAGAGACTTAGGTTTACAGAAAAATTGAGTGGCAAGCACCAAGAGTTCCCGCATCCCCCTGCTGTCCCTCCTCTCCAGTTTCCCGTTACTAACATCTTGCATCAATGTGGTTTATTTGTTACAATTGCTTATATTGATACAATATTACTAACTAAATTTCATAGTTTATAATAAACTTTGTGTTGGATGTTCTATGGGTTTTGACAAATGTATAATGACATGTATCCACTATTACAGAATCATGCAGAATGGATTCACTGCCCTGAAAGTCTTGTGTTCCACTCTTCCCTCCTGACTTAGCCCACTCTCCCTCTACCTTGTCTGCTTGACAATGATGTTTATTTTTGTTGTTGTTTGTTTGTTTTTTTACTGTCATCGAAGTCTTTTGCCTTTTCTAGATAGTTGAGATTGTATGGTATGTAACTTATTTCTTTATTTATGACAGGGTCTCACCCTGTCCCCCAGACTGGAGTGCACTACTGCAATCATGCCTCACTACAACCACCACCTCCCAGGCTCAAGCAATCCTCCCACCTCAGCCTCCAGAGTAGCTGGGACTACAGGTGCATGCCACCACACCAGGCTAATTTTTAAAACAACTTTTTTTAAGCCAGGGGATCTCACTGTGTTGCCAGGCTAGTCTTGAACTCCTGAACTCAAGCAAGCCTCCTGTCTTGGCCTCCTGAAGTGCTGGGATTACAAGTGTAAGCCACTGCTGCCAGCCGGTGACAGAGTAACCTTTTTAGATTGACAACTTTCACTTAGCAATCTGTATTTAAGATTACTCCGTGTCGTTTCTTAGTTGGCCAAAGGGTATGAACATTTTTGTGACACTTATTACATACAATTCCTTAAATTACTTAGAAGATTATACCTGGTCTCACTACCTCCAGCACTTTCTCACCTGTTGAGAGTCATGTTAATTTCTAAGCGGCTCTGAACACAGTGAACTAACAGGCAGTGCCTGCCAACCTCTAGGTGGATTTTTCCACTCAAGAAGCCAGAGAGTGCCAGAGACTATGGGCTTCAGCAAGAACCAGGTGAGACCCCACAAGGAAGAGACAAGGGCAGAAGCGCATGAGCCGCGTGCCAACACCACCTCTCTTGACAATTGTTGTATTCTTAGGAAAACTACTTGTTTCAATCAAGAGTCTAAATGACAAACAACGTGATTAACACATTGGCTGTGTTGTGTTGGGAGTAAAATGGAATCTCAGTGCTGATAGGTGGGGAAAGAATGAGCATTCTATGATCCTAGAGCTGGCTGGGCCCAGGTGTTTCTGTAGCAACTGGCCGAGGCTCATCACAAGCTCGGGCCAGGGGAGGCTGAGGGACTATGTTAACTTCTCTTCCCGGGTCCACAAGGAGTGTGGTTTTTAAGGCAAGAACTTCCCAGTGCCATGCATCCATCCACTTCCCCAACTGGGGGCCTTGAGTTCTCTAACTTTCCCATGTGGAGGAAAGGTAGACAGCCCAGGTGAGCTTACTTTGTTTAGAAGGCCTGCCAAAAGCCTTGGAAGGAGGGGCTCTATTGCAAACCCAGCAGCCGGTCCAGCATCAGAGTCAAAGATCAATCACTCCAGAGGAAGTTTGGAAAAGCTCATCTCACTGGACGAGAACTTGAATGGAGTGGGAGTAACTCCAGGGTTAAATTCCCCTATTCCTTTACCTATACGGATTTCCCTCTCTGGGATCCCCTCCCATGGCAGCGTGGGAGCCTTCTCCCTCTCTCCATCTCTCTCTCTCTCTCTCTCTCTCTCTCTCTCTCTCTCTCTCCCCCTCTCCATATAGATATAGATATAGATATAGATATAGATATAGATATAGATATAGATACCTGTGCAGACTCCATCTCTGGATCCCCTCTCACGACAGCATGGGAGCTCTCTCTCTCTCTCTCTCTCTCTCTCTCTGCCTAATAAATTGCTTTTCTGCAAAGTTCTTTGGATCTGATATTTACTTGAACAATATCACCATGCCACCAGGGACCTCCTCCCGATTCTTGGGTGAGTGAGGCCCAAGGACCTGGGAAAACACATCCGATCAGGGAACAGTGAGCGTCATTGGGACCCCCTCAGCTCTGCTCCTGTCACCCGGTTACAAGGTGATGTGTGTTTTTCATGGGAAACATCAACCCTGGTGAGCTGGTGTCAGGGAGTTGGGGAGAGAAGCAGTTCTTGACAGCTGTGATCTCTCCAACGGCACTAGTGAATGGTGGTAATATGTGGAAGATCCAGAATAGGAGCTAATCAGAAGATGATTTCTGTTCGCCTCTGAGCCATTTGACCATAGTACAATCTTAGCTGTCCTTCTCTGGCCCAGAGCTTTTGTTTACTTGGGCCAATTTGGAATGTGGCTCTGTCTCCAGGGACTTCTCTCCCTGCTCCATGATGTTGGAATTTCCATCTGCAAATCACTAGTGGAGGATTGACAAGGGGGTGTAAGACCTGGTCCTCAACCTCTTGGAAGGCTGGGTGGATGATGCTGGTCGTAGTCCCTAACATCATGGACCTCAGTTTCCTTCCCTTTATTTATTGCATTATTTTGAGAACTGATTAAGTTAATGTATGCAAAAGGACTCTAATATTAAAATGTCACATCTGTACTTTGTAAGGAAAGTAAGAGTGCAATGCATTCATCTCTTCGGTTGTTCATTCACACATTCATTCATTATACTTATCAAGTCTCAGGCACCAAATAATGAAGCCATGATAGGAAGTCTACTCTGGAAAGAGCTTGGAAGTCAGAGCTGAGTGCCAGTTCCTCCTCCTCCCTCTTGTCCAAACCTCCCTGCAGTGGCTGTTCTGGGTTGGACGTGTGCTCTCTTCTGTGGTTAAGTGTGGGTTTTAAAGAATTTGTCAGAATCAAAACTAAGTTTTTAGGCTGGACACAGTGGCTCATCCCTATAATCCCAGGAGTGTGATACCAGCCTGGGCAACATAGTGAGACCCCCTTCTCTATCGTATGTGTGTGTATAAATACACACCTATAAACTTCATGGACCCTCCTGCAGCCTCCCTTCCACGTATCGCTGAGGCCTTGCTGATCCTGGAGAGACTGCTCTACCCAGGGCAAGCCAGTTCCTAGAGGCAGTAAAGGACTCACCTGCAGGCGCACCTTCCATCTGCAAACCAGCCAGTCCAAAGCCCATACCTCCAACCACCTCCTTCATCCGGCTCTTACGCTGGGCCGCTATCCAACTGCCCTCATCACCCAAGGGCCATGAACCAGAAAACTAGGGACAGCCCTATGCCCCAGAGCCGAGCAAAATTATTCAAACTATTCATAGCTAATCCTGTGCCTGCTTACCTTGCCTTGCCTTACCTTTCCATTGGATGCCACAAATAAAGCTCTTGCCCATGTTAAAACACACACACACACACACACACACACACACACACACACACGAATATACAGAGAAAAGGGGATCTCACTATTTTGTCTCACTATGTTGAGACCCCCTTCTTTATTATGTGTGTATGTGTGTGTGTGTAAATATATGTCCAGGCATGGTGGCACATGCCTATAGTCCTAGCTACTGGGACCACTGAGGTGGGAGGTGAACACAGGAGATCAAGGCTGCAGTGAGCTATGATCACACAACTGCACTCCAGACTGAATGATGGAGAAAGACCCTGTCTCTAGAAAAACAAAACAAAACAAAACAAAAAATACTAAGCTTTCAAAAAAGAAAATACCCACATAGTTGGAGTAGCATAAAGTGAGTTCCACAGACAAAGAATAAAGTGCCAAGGAAGCAAACAGCTTGTTGGGCTCAGGAGCCTTGATAAACTTAAGAGCAAAATTTGCAGCGAACAAGCCACAGATCATTTGCATGTCCCAGCTGTCCCAGCTGTGTTCTGAATTCTCACCCAGGAGCAGCTGCCTGTACCTTTCCTGCAGACCAGAGCCCCTTGGATCCCTATTGAAACCCCATTGTCTTGCCCCATTCTCCCCCACGAAAAGTCTTTGTGTGGCGGGACTGAGTTAGTGACAATGATGAGCATCCCTGCTTTGGACTTGCAGATCGGAGCCCTTCCCCGCCTGTGTGACGTACTGCAAGTGCTGCAGGAGGAGCAAGACCAGTGTCTGCAGGAGCTCTCCAGAGAGCAGAAAGGAGAGCTGGCCTTGGGGCAGCCAGTGCCAGGTATGAGGCTTGCCACAGCCCGTGTCCACTCCTGGGGTTGGAGCGTGTCCAGTCCCACTGGGCCAAGGGAGCTTGTCCTGGGCCAGGATGGGATGTGGGAGGCTGGTCCAGCTTTACTCACTTAGACAATCAGCTGGCGGGGCAGGGCTGGAGTGATCCTGGTGAGCAGATCACAGGCACCCAAAGCCAAATCCTCATCACTCTTCCTTTCCCCGTGTAAGTGAACATGGCCAGTGTTTTCTTACCATCAGCTTCTGCATGCTGACTTGGCCAAGGTAAGAACTTGGTGAGAATTTCTTTGCAAGGCAATTTTCCTCTTATTCATTCTCCCACCTCCCTGCCAGCTCCAAGAGTGAGGTAGTCAGAAAGGCAGCTTGGGGTCACAATAGTGTAGGCTGCCTGCTGGGTGACACTCACTGGCTGTGTGACCACGGGCAAATTATTTAGCACTCTGAGCCTACATATTCTGATATATAGAATGGAGGTGGCCAGGGATGGTGATGCACACCTGTAATCCCAGCACTTTGGGAGGCCAAGGTGAGCGGATTACCTGAGTTCAGGAGTTCGAGATCAGCTTGACTAATACAGTGAAACCCCGCCTCTATTAAAAATATAAAATTAGCCAGGCATGGTGGTGCATGCCTGTAATTCCAGCTACTTGGGAGGCTGAGGCAGGAGAATCGCTTGAACCGGGGAGGCAGAGGTTGCAGTGAGTCGAGATCTCGCCACTGCACTCCAGCCTGGGCGACAAGAGTGAAACTCCGTCTCAACAAGAACAAGAACAAAACAAAGCCAAAAAGAATGGAGGTGATAATGTCTTCTTTAGGATTATAACGATAAATGAGATAAAGTGTGTTCAATACTGATGCCTTGTAAATATTGCTAATTTAGTTAAATCTCATTAATCAACAGTTTAAGTATCAATTTTATATTTAAATGTTAACTTTATGTTTATTCCCTTCCTAAATGTCTTGTCTTCGCTCTCTGTCATTTAAGGGTAAGGAGGGGTATAGCATTACGAACCTCTGTACACAGACAGATGTTCATAACAGCCCCCTTCACAAGGATGAAGAGGTGGAAACAGCCTAAATGCCCATCAGCTGATGAATGGATAAACTAAATGTGGTTTATCCACACAATAGGATATTATTCAGCCTTTAAAAAGAATGAAGTGGGGCCGGGCGTGGTGGCTCACGCCTGTAATCCAAGCACTTTGGAGGCCAAGGCGGGTGGATCACCTGAGGTTGGGAGTTCAAGACCAGCCTGATCAACATGGTGAAACCCTGTCTTAATTAAAAAAAAAAAAAAAAAAAAAAAAAAAAATGAAGTGATGACACATTCTACAGCATGGACAAACCTTGAAACCTAATGCTAAGTGAAACAAGCCAGATACAAAAGGACACGCATTGTTGCCAGGGACAGTAGCTCACACCTGTCATCCCAGTGCTCTGGGAGGCCGAGGTTGGTGGATCATTTGAGGTCAGGAGTTTGAGACCAGCTTGACAACATGGTGAAACCAAGTCTCTACTAAAAACACAAAATTAGCCAGGTGTGGTGGCGAGCACCTGTAATCCCAGCTATTTGGGAGGCTGAGGCAGGAGAATTGCTTGAACCCGGGAGGCGGAGGTTGCAGTGAGATGAGATCGCGCCATTGCACTCCAGCCTGGGCAACAAGAGCAAAACTCCTCTCAAAAAGAAAAAGAAAAAGAAAAGAAAGTCATGTAAAATGATGATGAGATAAGAACAGCGTGTGGGTCTGCCTTAGTGTCTAATCAGGAGGCTTGACCTGGCCTGCACCTCCATGAGGGCTTTCTTCAGGAAATCATGCTTGAGCTGAGGCCTGAGCCTGATTGGTGGTTACTGGGCATAGGCATGAGGGAGCCTGCTTGCAGGACGAGCACACAGGGGCTCATCAGCCCGTGGGGGATTTTCATCCTATCCTAAGAGCGGCCAAACGCCCTGGAGAGGCTTAGGAGGGCAGGGGGGTGACCGTCAGCATTATGAAAAGATCACCCTTGCCACAGTGTGGCAGGTAGACCAGAGAAAGACAGGAGTAGTTCAGAGAGACCTGCTGGGAGGCTGGTGGTCTAGGCAAGAGATGTGGTCACTGGGACTGGATAGGATGTCATTGGATCCTCCAGAAGCAAGTGATTCCAGGCCAGATCAGTAGGACTGGGAACCAAGCTGGGGCAGGGAAGAAAGGTGGTAAATGTTACATCATTGTTGGGGGCACTTGGGGAACACACGCCTCTGAGTCGCCCAGGAGCTGGAGGGTGCATCCATCAGTGCCTCATCAGTCAGAGGCGGGGCTGCCTCGGGGCAAGCAGCTTTCATTCCCTTTCACTTCCAGCCTGCTGTGCTTAGGGGCAAAATTGCCTCCAGTAGCCAGAGAAAGCCCCCAGACAAAGGGATACCAGGCCAGTGGGTGAAAGTGAGATTGGTGTGCCCAGAAAAGGTTAAGGCTAAGGAGTTACAAGCAGGTTCTGTTGTAAGGGCTGGAGAGGCGTAGACCCTCGAAGAGCTGTGTGGGCGGAGAGGCTGACCACCTGTGCTGAAGAACTGGATTGGGAATGAGGTGAGACACAGAGAATCCAGGATGGCCGCCACGTGTTTGACTTGAGCAATAGGAGGAAGGAGTAAAGGAAGATGAGTATTCTGGAGGAGAGGAGATAAAAATCACAAATGTAGATTTGTGAGGAGGTGTGAGGAGGGCTGAGGGCTGGAGATAAACCTCCACACAGGCAACATGGGAGGCTGAGGTGCAGGATCGGGAGGGAAAGAGGACCCAGGAGACAGCCTGGAGCACTCCCGGCCCTCCTTTGTCAGGAGCAGCTGGAGGCAGAGGAACGTGAGGTGTGTGAGCAGCAGAGGCAGCAGCCTGGATGCTGCAAAGGTGCTTCAGCCCATGCAGGCAGCCACCGTGCGAGGGGCGGGGACAGAGCAGACGTCTCTCCCGCAGTCTGAGCCTTCGCTTTCCCTCTACCTGACTGCACTTTCTCTCTGGCTCTGACGACACTTGAGGAGTCAGACCACAGTCTTAAGGCACTCATGGGGACACCAATGAGAGCCTCCTGATCTCTTGCTGCCCTGGGACAGCAGGAAGCGAGGCACCTCCTGTCCCCAGGGGCAATGCCTGAAACCCCAATGACAGCAGCCCTATGAGATAGGCCTAGAATGCTGGGCCTCTGTGAGGGCTGAAGGTGAACTTCCGTTTACACGGACAAGTAAGGGATTTTTTTTTTTTTTTTTTTTTTTTTTTTGAGATGGAGTCTTGCTCTGTAGCCCAGGCTGGAGGGCAGCGGCGCCATCTCGGCTCACTGCAATCTCCGCTTCCCGGTCACGGTTCAAGCAATTCTCCTACCTCAGCCCCCCAAGCAGCTGGGGTTACAGGCACGAGCCACCACGCCCAGCTAATTTTTGTATTTTTTAGTAGAGACGGGGTTTCACCATGTTGGCCAGTCTGGTCTTGAACTCTGGACCTTGTGATCCGCCCGCCTCGGCCTCCCAAAGTGCTGGGATTACAGGCTTGAGCCACCGCGCCCGGCCAGGGATGGTTGTTTTCATGTAAGATGTGTTTAAAATGTCCCACAGTTTTCTAGTGGTTCCAGGATGAGGCCCAGCTCCTGACTTGGCCCCTGTCCACATCTCCACCCCTAACACTGCCAGCCAGCTCAACCCTCAACCAAATTGCTTACAATTTCCTGCCTGTCCATTCTCTCCTGCCTCCGGCCTTTGCACACACAGACCCCTCGGCTACAACACCATTCTCCGTCTTCTTCCCTCTGAAACCACCCGCCTTTTCAGACTCCTCTAGGAATGATGTCCTGAACGCCCCTGGCTCCCCTGGTCAAGTGAGTCACCCCGACTCCTGCAGGAGACTGCTTCTCTCTCTCCTCGCACTTCTGCACTGCACTGTAAAGGTGTGTTTCCTGAACTGTCCTCACCCCTGACAGGGGTAGCAACAATATCACCTTCCTTCTTCCCCAGTGCTTGACACAGGGCTTGCCAGACTGAGTATTCAGGGTGTGTTTGTTGACTGACTTACTGAGTGAATGAGGGCAAATACATGGCCGAGTGCAGCGAGAAAGGAGGAAATAAAAGACAGCCAGTCCCAAGAGAGTGGGAGATGAGGTGGACCCTTGGAGGCGGGTGAGCTCCCCACAGGGGACACAGATGCCCCCAGGTGCCCAACTTGTCACAAATTAGCTGAGGTGAGCAATGTGGTCCTAGTTACTGGTGGAGGGATGCTCTCCAGGGTCCGACCCTGGGGAAAAGAGGTGAGTCCCTGTCTTCACTGGCCACCCCCTATGGCGTGATGAGCCAGCTGTGCCTGCCCTACTCAGGTCCTGACTAATGACCGTGCTGGCTGGGGCCCCTGCTCCCCTCAGGGCGTCCGCATTCCTGTTGGGATCTCAGGAGGAGACTCCCCACCGTCGCAGGAGAGGGTCTGCTGTGAGGCCGCTGGGGCTGGGCTGGATCTGGTGAGAGGAGTGGACCTGTGCATCAGGCAGGGGGCAGAGTCAGCCAGACCGGGTGCCACTCTTCCTTTCTGGGGCTCTTGGGCTAGAGGATTCTCCCCACTCCTCAACGTGCCCATTTTAAAGTGGAGAAAATAATCCGATCAACTTTATGACACCATTGTGGGGAATAAGTGGACATCTCCTCATAGCCAGGAGCTCCTCTCATGGCCTCTCTGTCCCAGCCCTTTGATGCAGCCAGGCTGACCTCTGCCTTGAATGGCTGGGGTCCACTTAGGCCCTCAGCCCTGCCTGTGAGTGGTGCCTCTTCTGTGAACCGCTTGCCCAGTCACCTTACCAGTGCCGAGTGCATGTTCACATGACTCCAGAAGTTGCACCCACATCTATGTCTCAATTCTGGGTTGAGCTGTCCGAGCAGACTCGGTCATCCTTCTTCCCTTGGGCTCCCCATGCGGTGCACCAGCCCTTTCCGCCAGGTCCTGATTGTGCATCCAGGGCTGAGAAAGCTCCCTGGGATTCCTG